AGAAAAAGAGGGCCTCTTCAGTGGCTCAGTAGTGAGCACGGGGTTGCAACAGTGCCCGCAGCCTCTGCAGCGGCCGGTTCGATCCCCGGCGCTCCCCCGGCTTCCCTCAGCAGTGTACTTCGGTCCTCTGCCTGCTCTGCTCCTGCTCTGGCTCTGGTGAATTCTCTCACCCTCCCGCGCTTCTGACTATACCCAGTGCTTGTATAATAATAAATAAATAAAAAAAATCTTAAAAAAAAAAGAAAGAAAAAGAAAAAAGGACATCCAGATTGCAAAGGAAGAAATAGAATTTTTTTATTTGCAGGATGTCATCAACTATATAGGAAATCTTCAAACATCTAAGAAGCTACAAGTAAAAAGTGAGTTTAGCAAGAGGTTACATACCTAAATCAGTATGTAAAAAACAATTGTATTTCTATAGAATAGAAATTGTACTTCTATACACAATGGGAAATTAATATTCAAAACCATTACCAAGTACAATATCATCATGATAGAAAATATTTAGAGATAAATCTGACAAACATTATTAAGACCTAGCTACTGAAAGTTACAGTGAGACCCAAATAAATAGAGAGCTCCATGGTGCTGATTAATCAGAAGACTCAATACCATTAAGCAGTCAGTTCTTCCAAAACATTTCTCTCTACATTTAATGTAAATCCCAGTGGTCTTCTTTTTGTAACTAAAGGTCATATATTCATTGCAAAATGAAACCTTGAAAAGAACAAATTGGAGGATTTAAAGAATAGAGTTCAAGACTAACAAAGAGCTATAGTAGACAGTATAGTATTACTGTAAATATAAAGAAATAGATCAACAGAATAGAGAAATAGATCCACACATACGTGGTGAAAAGGCAAAGGTGAAAAGGCAATTAAGGGGCCTCCCTGGTGGTGCAAGGGGTTAAGACGCAACCTATGAAGTAATCCTCAGCCACTGTAGCTTGAGTTCGAGCCCTACCAGGGAGCTCCCCACATGGTGCAGCAGACCTCTCCTGACTCGCCCGCTGCAACCCTCATCGGTGTATTTTGGCCAATCTGCCTGTTCTGTTCCCCACTCTGTCTCTGGTGAATCCTCTCACTGCCCCCACACACACACCTCTGGCCTGTACCCCAGTTCTTGTATGCATAAATAAATCTTTTTAAAAAAAAAAAAGAATGAATGGCAAAGAAACCATAATTATTTTGAGTTGGTTATTTGGTAGATACTATCTAAAAAATAAAACTAAAGGCTTCAAGAAAATAAACTTACAGCCTCCCTGGTGGCGTAAGGGGTTAAGAAGCAAACTGTAAAGCTGTCCGCAGCCACTGCAGCATGAGTTTGATCCCTGGCCAGGGAGCTACCCACATGGTACAGCAGACCTCTCCTGTCTTGCCCACTGCTTTCCTCAGCAGGGTATTTCAGTCAGTCTGCTTGTTCTGCTCCCCACTCCGTCTCTGGTGAATCCTCTCATCCCCCCACACCTCTGGCCTATACCCCAGTTCTTGTATGCATAAATAAATAAATCTTTAAAAAAAAACTATTTGTTGCCAATGACAAAATCCAAACTCTCATGAGAAAACAGGGTTTTGGAAAACTTGTATCCAGAACTTTAATCCTAATAGAGCCCCAATACTTACATACTTTTCCAATGGGATATGTGATACTATAGCAAATGTGTTTTTAAATTATTTACATTAAGTATGTCAACACTGGAAGATCTACAAACTTGGTGAACTGAGTGCATTACTTTGAAAACATCATGCATTACTATAAGATTCATTCAAAATGCTTAAGGGTTTTAATGTAACAATATAAAATGTCCAACCATAGGGTTTCAGTTCCACACTGCAACTAAGCTAAAGAAGATACTAATTGTACAGTTTGTTTATTATCAAAGATGAACATTCACAATTATCTGAAAGGTTATTTATACCTTGCGTACAAATGTGAAGCTGGATTGTGTAGCTGGAATTTTTTCAAGTTCTTTAATATAAATGCAGAAGCAGATAAGAAAATTCAGTCGTTTTCTAAGGAGACATGCAAGAAAATGACTTGCAAGGACAAAATATAAAAAAGATGCACTCTTGTCACTATACTTTTTCTTTTGGAAAATAGTTTTCATAAAAATATTTTATTCCTATTACTCAGCAATCAAAAAAGATAAACTCATGCCATTTGCAGCAACATGGATGGAGCTGGAAGGGATAATGCTCAGTGAAATAAGCCAGAAAGAAAGAGAAAAATACCGGATGGTCTCACTCATAGCAGGAATTTAGAATATCTAAATAAAGGATCAGGAAAAAGACTAATTATAACAAAGTAAAAATCAAATCAAAGTAAAAATCAACTATAAACCAGAGACACACAGTGGGGTGGGGGGAGAGGGAGCAGGATCAAAACAAGGGTGGTGGGAATTTTATGAGACTATAACCAAGAGGAAAATGCATACATTGTACAAAAATGAAAAATGATGTATATAAAATAATATATATACTATTCCCATTAACATGCAGGGTTGTTAATATTCTAAATGAAAAGGTATTTTTGAATTTTCGATCTGTAATATGGCAAAAATTGATAGCTATGATAGATATAACCCACAAATTATCTTTAGGATCCTCATTCATCTGTAAGAGTGTATACAGATCATAAAAACAAAAATTTAGAGAATCGCTGATTAAACAGACCCTGGGACTCAGAGAGACGGTGTGAGAAAGGCCACTCAATGCAGAAGCAAAGACGCCAGAGCCAACAGCCACCTGCATGAGGGTGGGGACACAGTCCCAGCTCTCAGGCCTGGTTCAGGGCTTCTGGCCTCAGTCCAGTGAGTGAGTGGGTGGGGAGCCAAGCAAAGGGAATATTCATCTCCACTTTGCCTTATCACAGGCTGTGCCAAGTCTTTCATCCTGTACACACCCAATTCTAATTCCAGGACACGACTGTCCGGATAAGTCAATCAGCGTCAGAGGGTCCGGGTGCAAAGTCTGCACTGGGTTTTAGATTCTTCCCAGACCAGGAGGATCAGGGACTATGCCGCCCCCAACCTTCCTCCTGCTGATGTCGGGGGCCCTGGTCCTGACCGAGACCTGGGCAGGTGAGTGAGGCATTTGGAGGGGAATGGCTTTGGCCCAGGAGGAGCGAGAGGGCCGCCCTGCAGTGCAGGACCCAGGAAGGGTACTGCCAACCGCCCTCTCCTCAACCCGCGTCAAAACTCCACAGCTCAGCTTGCCGGGTATCCTGCTCCTCCCTTCCACCCTCTCCTGTGGCCCGCCCTTCTCCCCCGTAGCCCCTTTTTGGTCTCATGAGCACCCTCGCCCTCTCCCCCTGCCCGGCCCTTCATCCTCGGACCCAGACACTGGTGCCCAGAGGAGAGTTGGGGTCTCAGCCCCTCCCCTCCCTCAGGCTCCCACTCAGTAATGTACTTGCACACCTTGGTATCCCGGCCCGGCCCCGGGGAGCCCCGCTTCATCTGCGTGGCCTACGTGGACGACACGCAGTTCCTGCGGTTCGACAACAACGACCCGAGTCTGAAAATGGAGGCAACAGTGCCGTGGATGCAGCTAGAGAGGTCGGAGTATTGGGAGAGCCAAAAGCGCATTGTCGAGAGCCACCTAGACATTGCCAGACTCCAACTGACCAGCTTGCGGATGTACTACAACCAGAGCGGAACAGGTGTGTGATCCCCAACAACGAGCAGAGGTTACCCTCCAGTCTCTGGGTCCGAGCTTTCCCTTGAGGCCTTGGAACTTTTACCCTGTTTCTGTTTTAGTTTATTATAAATCACCAACAGCTGCGCTTGCCTGGGGATGGGAGGTGCTAAGTGGGCAGCCATTGACATGGCGGGGGCGGCCAGGGTCTCACACCTTGCAGGTGAGGAATGGCTGTGAAGTGGGCCTGAATGGTAGCCTAAGCCAGCTCAATGAATTTGCCTACGACGGCGTTGATTCCTGCACCCTGATGGAGACGCTGCGCGCCAGGACCCCAGCGGGCATGGAGGCGCAGACCTGGGAGGTTGAGTGGGAGGAGGTCCTCGCCTCTGAATTCAACACTCAGCACCTGGAACGCGAGTGTGGGCAGTGGCTCCAAGAACACCTGAAGAAAGGGAACCGGACACTGCGTGCAAGTAAGAGTTGCCTCGGGCCTCCCCTAGGGCCAAGGCTGGCGTCCAGCACAGGGAAGGAGAGTGGGCTCAAGGCCAGATACCACCCTCCTATGGCCCCAGAAGGTGAGGAGTTTGCCTGGGTGTCCAGATCCTCGAAAGTGACCCCTAGAGTGCCAGCCCTTCCTGGGGGCAATTAAGGAAGGCACTCTCTTAAGGTGAGGAACAGTCCTGATAACTGATTCTCTGTGATCCTGGCGGTGTTCTGGTGAACCATGTATTTCGTGCTCACATCTGGTTCTCAGAGATCTTGGATTCTGACTCCAACTTTCCTGAGTCAATTGGGCCTCTATCCAAGTCAAGACGAGAAGTCTCTAGTCTCTCCCTCAGAGCCCTGCAGCCTGCTACCCTGAACTGTTGCACCCTGATTCTAGAACTTTCCAAGGATTAGGAGACCATCCCAGTCTCCAAGGCCAGGCTGGTGTTCCAGCTTTGCACTCTGTCCACCCAGTGCAATTATCCTGTCCATTCTCAGGATGGTCACATGAGGCTGCTTCAGTGGCTTGTGAAAGTAACCCAAAGTATAAATTTTCAGAACTCCCGAAGACACTCGTGACCCCACCCACCACCTCTGAGCATGAAGTCATCCTGAGGTGCTGGGCCCTGGGCTTCTACCCTGCGGACATCACCCTGACCTGGCAGCGAGATGGGGAGGACCTGACCCAGGACATGGAGCTGGTAGAGACCAGGCCTGGGGGGGATGGAACCTTCCAGAAGTGGGCAGCTGTGGCTTTGCCTTCTGGAGAGGAGCAGAGATACACGTGCCATGTGCAGCATGAGGGGCTGCTGGAGCCCCAAGTCCTGAGATGGGGTAAGGAGAGGGTCATGGGCATAGAGGCTCTTCTCAGGGGCATCGGGAGCCCTTTGGAGACCTTTAGCAGGATGGGGGCTGAGGCCTGAAAGTCAGAGTCTCACCTTCTTTTCCCTTCCAGAGCCACCTCCTCAGTCTTCCATCCCCACCGTGGGCAACATTGCAAAAGTCCTGGTTCCCTTGGGGCAGTCCTGGTTCTCCTTGGAGCTGTGCTCACTGAAGCTGTGATTTGGAGGAAGAAGTACTCAGATACAGAAAACATCATATGAGGTCTGAGATTTCTTGTCTAATGTCTGCTTGATACTGGGAGGCCTGATCCCACACACATGCACTTTCTCAGCTGAGAGCCGGGTTTGCTGACATTTTTTTGTAAAGCGCATGAAACTCCTTGGTATGACAAATGAAGGACAAATATTTCATCTTGGTGACTTTGGTCATGGGGACCTCACTTGAGTAGCTGCAGGTCAAAAGGAAATGTCCCTGCTAAGGACGGAGGAGGCTGGCGCAGCTCCCACACGCGATCTCTCCTCATGTTCCCTGATCCTGTCCTGGAGCCCAGGACTGGCCAGTTCCTCAGGATTTCTTGGTCCTGCCTCCTCCCTGGCCTCTCACAAAATGTTTTCTTCCTATAGGTAGAGAAGGAGAGAAATACTAAGTCTGGATATAAGTGGGGTAGGAAGGCCTTAGAAAAGTGTGGATGGAGTCCATGGGGGAGCTCACCCACTCCATAATAGTTCCTTTAGTCTCATCTCCTGGGCACTCTAACCAGGTTCTGTTTTCTGGTTTTGCCCCAAGCAGCTTTTTTTTTTTAATAGAGGCATGTTTTATTTATTTATTGTTTGTTTGTTTTTTTTATACATGCACTGGGTACAGTCAGAAGCGCGGGAGGGTGAGAGAATTCACCAGAGCCAGAGCGGGGAGCAGAGCAGGCAGAAGGACCGAAGCACACTGCTGAGGGGAGCAGCGGGCGGCAGGAGAGGTCTGCGCGCCATGTGGGACCCTCCTCTGGTGGCCGGGGAGCAGCAAGGGATCGAACTGTCGCCACAGAGGCCGCGGGCAACTTCACAACCCAGTGCTCAACCGCTGCACCACCGGGGAGGCCCCCAAGCAGCTTTTAAAGTGAAACTCTGGAAGCCTGAAGAGAGGGAAGGGGCAGACAGGATATGACCAAGTATGGGAGTGGATTGATGTGGACATTTTTGAGCATGCAGTGGGCTGCTGAGAATGTCATCACCTTTGTAAACTACTTTGTTCATGACATTCTTTCCCGGGGTGAGCTACCTGCCCTTATGGAGGACTGAGTGATGCAAAATGTGTTTGAACTTCGGTTTTGTGACTTGAAGACCACCCAACTTCTCTGTTGCAAAGGGCATCTGCATGTGTCTGTCTGTGTCCTATAAGCACAATGTGGGGAGGTGGGAGACTGGCCAGCCCTGCCCGCCAGGCCCCTCCCCACACGGACCTGTGTCTCTCCCTGATGACTTTCCTGCTCCAGCAGAGGCGCGGCTCGGTCGTCTTCATCCCTGTCTTAACTTCCGTTGCCCTGAACTGCAGCTTCTCCTTTATTAAATAGAATCTGATACTAAACAGAAGGGGCTGGGAAAGGCCACATGCAGTCGGATTCTGGCAGCAGCAGGAGCAGCTCTTGTCTTTTCTGGCTCTCCTTCCTCCTTGGGAAACATGGCTTCCAGCGTGGCTGTCTCTGAAGGTGTCAGAAAAGTGTCCAAGAACATGAAGGTGCGTAAGTCATCAACACCACAGGAAGTGGAGAAGCACAAGAAGGTGGTGCTCTTCTGCCCGAGTGAGGAGAGGAAGAACATCATCCCAGAGGGCAAAGAAATCCTGGTAAGCGATGTGGGCCAGACCATGAACAAGCCCTACCCACCTTTGTCAAGATGCTGCCAGACCAGGACTGTGCCCTCCATGATGCAGCCTAAGAGAACAAGAGAGCAAGGAGGAGGACCTGATGTTTATCTTCTGGGCCCCTGAGTGTGCACCCTTAAGTGCAAAATCATCTAAGCCAGGTTCCAGGAGAAGCTGACCTGGATCAAGTATAAATTACAAACTGCTGGGGCCTCCCTGGTGGCATAAGCCGTTATGTCTCAGTACTATGAAGCTATTGGCAGCCACTGCAGCGAGTTCGATCCCCGGCCAGGGAGCTACAGACATGCCACAGCAGACCTCTCCTGACTTGCCCACTGCTCCCCTGAGCAGTGTGTTTCAGTAGATCTACCTTTCTGCTCCCCACTCTGTCTCTGGTGAATCCTCTCACTCCCTACCCTGCACCTCTGTCCTGCACCCTAGTTTTTGCATGCCTTATTAAAACAAAGAAAAAAAAAAGCCTATACCCTGGCAGAGAAGCTGGTGGTAACTGTCATCTCCCTGGAGGACAAGCCCCTTCCACCCCACTGCCTAAAGTATCTGGCTGCCCCAGACCTGCCCACAGGGGTTGCAGGCCCTTCCTGCCAGACCAGAGGGGTTAGGGAATCCCAGCAGGGGGAAGACAATGCCTCTGCCTAATTGCGAAAAGTCCCCCAACCCCAGACCTTCTTCCTCCCTCCATCCCCGACAGATCTGGCCTTCCCAAACCACTTTTCACCCTCTTGGGTTTAAGCAGATCATGTTCCCCACCGAGGGAATTATGACTGTTTTGTGTTCCGTTCTGATCTCCTCTGGGTGCCCCAGAGGAGAGGTATATTGGGTGGTGCTGGTGCCCCAGCAGCAAGAGGTAAATTGGGGTATTTTTTTTTTTAATCATACCCAAGACTTCACTGTTCCTCCCCTTCTGTGCTGCCACCTTTCAACCACAATAGCGACCCTGTGCTGTCTGTTTGGTTCTGACCCACTCCCTACACCGCCTGTTCTCCTCCCCACTCCCCTGGTCGTGGCCACTCACGGAGGCAGGACCAGTAAGGGACCTTCAATTAAAAATGAAAAGCACAGCAATAAAAAAAAGTGTGTATATAATATGTTTGTTTCTTTAAATCCTTGTCACAAGGGGGACTGTTGGGTTAGAGAAGAGAATATTAAATTTTTAATCAGATAATTTTGTTCTTGTTTTTGCGTTGTGCGACTTCTTTACATAGTTGAATATTAATCCCTTTTCAATATATGGTTTGCAAATACTTTCTAACATCCTGTAAATTGTCTTTTTTTAAGTTGTTCCTTGTGCTGTGCAGAAGTTTTTTAGATTGATGTAGACACATTTGTTGATTTTTGCTTTTGTTGTTTGTGCTTTTGGTGTCATTGCCAAGACCATTATCAAAGAGCTTCTTTCTTATTTTCTCTTGGGAGTTTTATGATATCAGATCTTGCAGTTAGATCTTTTTAAGGTTTTTTCTCTTACATCACTGTTCATTTTTGCGTGACATTTTATCTCTTCCCTCAGGTTTAGTCCCCCAAGTTTTCCCATGAACACAGCATCCATGAACCATTGCAATAGTCCCTTGTGCTTTTCCCTCCTGTTTTGACCTCCTCCCCACCTTCCCTGCTATATGCCTAGGTAGATCTTTAATCCATTTTAAGAAAATTTTTGTAAATGATATGAGATAGGGGCCTAATTTCATTTTTCTTCATGTTATCCAATTGCCACCATCATTTGTTAAAGAGGCTATCCTTTCCCTATTGACTGTTCTTGGCTCCCTTATCAAATATTACTTGACTGTAAATGCAAAGGATTACTTCTAGGCTCTCTATTCGATTGATATAGCAAAATACTGTTTTAATTACTATGGATTTGTAGTCAGTTTGAATGAAGTAGCCTCTTTTGTTTTAAGATTTATTTATTTATGCATACAAGAGCTGGGGTGCAGACCAGAGATGCAGTGGATGCAGTGGGTGAGAGGATTCACCAGAGACAGAGTGCAGAATAGAACAGGCAGATTGACTGAAATACACTGCTGAGGGGAGCAGCAGAGGAGCCAGGAGAGGTCTGCTGCGCCAAGTAGGTCACCTCTCTGGCTGGGGATGGAACTCATGCTGCAGTGGCTGTGGATAGCTTCATAGTGCTGTGCTTAAGCCCTTGTACCACCAGTGTAGCCCCTGAACTAGACACTTTTTAATGGAATATTATTTTTACTTGAAAGAATGAATGGCAAAGACACTATGATTATTTTGAGTTGGCTATTTGGTAGACACTGTCTCAAAAAATGGCGCAGGCAGTTGAGCACAGCGCTGTGAAGCTATCCACAGCCTCAACAGCATGGGTTCGATCCCGGCCTGCTGGGGAGATACCTACATGGCACAGCAGGCCCCTCTTGTCTCACCTGCTGCTCCCCTCAGCAGCGTATTTTGGTCAATCTGCCTATTCTGTTCCCTACTCTGTCTCTGGTGAATCCTCTCACCCTCCCACACATCTGGCCTGTACGCTGGTTCTTGTATACATGAATAAATAAATGTTTTAAACAAATCAAAAAATAAATTTAAGTCTTCAAGAAAATAAACTGACTATTTGTTGCCAATGACAAAATGTAAACTCTCAAGAGTAAACAGCATTTTGGAAAACTTGTATCCAGAACTGTAATCCTAATAGCTTCCCAATATTTACATGCTTTTCCAAAGGTATATGTGATAATATAATAAATGTGGTTATTGATTATTTGTATCAAATGTGTCAACACTGGAAGATCTACAAAGTTGGTGGACTGAGTGCATTACTTAAAAACATCATGCATTAGTACAAGATTCATTCAAAATGCATGATACACTGTGTTTGCTTCGGCAGCACATATACAAATTGCATGATACACTTATGGGTTTTAATGTAACAATTTAAAATGTCCAACCATAGGGTTTCAAGTTCCCCACTGCAACTAAGCTTAAGAAGATCTTAATTGGTTGTTTATTATCAAAGATGAATATTCACAATTATCTGAAGGTTTTTTTTTTTTTTTTTTTAGATTTATTTATTTATTTATACAAGCACTGGGTACAGTCGGAAGCGCGGGAGGGTGAGAGAATTCACCAGAGCCAGAGCGCGGAGCAGAGCAGGCAGAAGGACTGAAGTACACTGCTGAGGGGAACAGCTGCAGCAGGAGAGGTCTGCGAACCATGTGGGACCTTCCTCCAATGGCCAGGGAGCAACCAGCACTGCAGAAGCTGCTGGCAGCTTCCCAACCCAGCGCTCAACCGCTGCGCCACCAGGGAGGCCCTACTGAAAGGTTATTTATACCTGTGTACAAATGTGAAGCTGGATTGTGTAGCTGGAATTTTTTTCAAGTTCTTTAAAA